TGTCTGAAAAATATTATCAAATCGTCCAAAAAAATGTTTAATGAAGTGACTGAAAAAAAATGATTAAAAAAATGTCTGGAAAAATATGTTGATGAAATGTGCAAAAAAAAAAAAAAAAAGTTGACAAAATATTTGCAAAATTTTAATAACATGTCCAAAAAATTGTTTAATTAAAAATGTCCCAAATTTTTTTGATAATACGTCAGAAAAAAACATTAATAAAACGTCTTTAAAAAAATGGTAATGAAATACTGAAAAAAGTTAATAAAATTTCCCCCCAAAAATTAAAACAATGTCCGAAAAATATTTGTAAAATGTCAGAAAATATGTTGACGAAATGTGCGAGAACAAAATTATGTATTTGTAAAATTTTAATAACCTATCCAAAAAAAGTTTGAATAAAAATGTAAAAACAAAGTTAATAAAATGTTAATAAAAAAATACTGATAAAATGTCCAAGAAAATATTATAAACTTGTCCAAAATAAAAGTCCAAAAAAAAAATAATAATAAAAAGTCAAAAAATATTACAAGATATATTAAAATGTCCAAAAATATGTTAATGAAATGTGAGAAAATAATTGTTGATATTGTTCGTTAAATTTTAATAACTTGTCCAAAAATTATAAATATAATGTCAGAAAATATGTTGATGAAATGTCTGAAAAAAAGTTGAAGAAAGTCCAAAAATATTTTTTTAAAATGTCTGTTTCCACAGTCATGGAAAACCTGGAAAAGTCATGGAATTTCACAATCACATTTTTATATTTATATTTTGTTTTGTTTTCAAAATACTTTTTACTCATATTTCAGACCTTTTTAAAAACTGTACAGCTCATTGTTTTGATGCTTGAGCAGTTACTCCTAACACCAGATACTCACAGACATGAACTCATGTAAGAGTCACTTGATTAACTGCTCTGCAGGTTTCATTACTGTTTATTTAAGTGTGAATTTTAATGACCTCTAACAGCTAACTGGTAATTTCCTGCAGGAAATAGTGTCTCGTAAACATGATGCAATGCTTGTGAGTGTGTGTGTGTGTGTAAGTGTGTGTGAGTGTGTGTATTGTGTTGTGGTTTGTGTGCACTGTAGATCAAAGGAACAAGTGGACTGTACCCACACACACTCTCGCACAGAAAAACTAAAGTGTTGTTGCCTCGGAAACCGTTCTGACAGTCGCCACCGTGAAGTAAAAAAGAAAGTGAGCATTAGTTATTTGTGCATGCACAGTCCAAATGTGTGTGTGTGTGTGTGTGTGTGTGTGTGTTTTACAATAACAAGAGAACATGTTTGTGATTTCAGTACCAACAAACAGCTGTTATTCATTTTGCCTCATTTCTGTCCTCCATTTTATTCTCTTCATCCTCTCACTGAAATAAACTCACAACAGAACAGTGAGTCATTGTTTTGTCTGTGTGTTACCTCAATCAGGAGGAAGAGAGCCTGCTAATAGGAAGTTCTAGGAACACAGTGTGTGTGTGTGTGTGTGTGTGTGTGTGTGTGTGTGTTTAGTTAGTAGGGAATTCATCATTTCCTGACACTCTGAAAACACTAAACAAACAGGGGAGTCTCTCGCCTCTAATTATGCTGTACGCTCCAGCACTTAAACCTATTAGCACCGGAGGGGATGTTTATGTGTGTGTGTGTGTGTGTGTGTGTGTGTCCCTTCTCTGTGTTTGTACCAAGGTGGTCCAAATACTGTTGTTCTGTTAAGTTGATAACTACTCTGACAGCAGCCCACTGTGTTGATGTGTCCTCTAATTACTCTGTATACATGCCTGCTGGGTGGTGAACACACTGCAGTGTGTGTGAGCTCCTCTGTCTGATTATTTTATCCAGTTTTAAAAAGTTGGACGGTGGAGTTTGGTCGCACAGATGATTTTTGAGCATTTGAAATTGAAGGTCACTCTTTGTAATGAAATGTTTGGATGCTCATTTTGTTGTTTCAAATCTTTATTTACTATTATTGAGCCCAGATGGTCGGTTTCCCCGCCGTGACTCACTTTATATTTATGTGTTTGACAGAGTTGTGGTGTGAGCCCCCATTTCAAGGCAGTCTAATTTATTTATATACAGCACTTCTGCAACAAGCAATTTCATACACAATGTTTTACCGTTGGACTTGAGTGGCTCTGCATTCATAGTTTCAAGTGCATTCAGTATTCTTTCATGTTGTTTTTCAAAAAAAAAATTAAAAAAAGAAAGAATTAAAAAAAAAAAAAAACAGATGGCAATTGAGTAGAAAAAGTTTTTATTTACAACAATGAGCAGCCAAATCTGCAGAAAGACCTCATCCGAGCAAATATGGTAAAAGTATTTATTTATAGCGTATTTATTTATTGCCTCAGAATGTAAACACACACACACACGCACTAAAAGAAAACAGAAAATCTACAAAAATCCAGGTAGAAATACATAAAAGCAGTTTTTCCCCCCACCATGTCTGCATGTAGCTTCTTACGGTTATGTTTCAGCATCTCACAGCACCCAGCTATACTTAATGAAATATATTTGCTTTATAAATATTGAAAAAAGTCCTTGGTGACTTGAAGTGGTGTGTGTAGTGCTAAAAATCTATACTCAAGAAAATGTATGATTATACTTATAAAACATGACTCAAGTAAAAGTTTGAATTATTGTTTGAAAAAACTAGTGAAGTAAAAAATAATAAAGTTCTTGGTTAATAAATTATTCAAAGTACAACTTTCGCTTTTAATATTTATAAGATGTGCAGGCCGGTGCAAAATAATAAAAAAACAGCTCTTGTTGTTACACATGAAAATATAACGTAGCTTATGTTAGCTAGCTAACTGCAATTTCAGCTACAGTTTGTGCAACTTACTTTAATGTGCTTAGGTAGGTTTGAAGAGGAGTTTTCAACAGTGGAGATCTTCATCATGTAACTGTTGCCTCTTTTGGATTTTGGTGTAAAAAGTGTAGCTAGATGTGGTCAGGGATCGTCACTGGAAGCTGCCACTTGTTCTGGGTTAACTATAAGCTTTATCAAAGAGGAAAGTCTTAAGTCTAGTCTTAAATGTGGAGACGGTGTCTGCCTCCCGGACCGTAACAGGAAGATGATTCCACAGGAGAGGAGCCTGATAGCTGAAGGCTCTGGCTCCTGATCTACTTATGGAGACTTTAGGGACCACGAGTAACCCTGCGTTCTCAGAGCGCAGTGTTCTGGTGGGATAATAAGGCACTATGAGCTCACTAAGATATGATGGAGCTTGACCATTTAGAGCTTTATAAGTTAACAGTAGGATTTTAAATTCAATTCTGGATTTTACAGGGAGCCAGTGCAGAGAAGCTAAAACAGGAGAAATATGATCTCGTTTCTTAGTTCCTGTTAGTACACGTGCTGCTGCATTCTGAATTAGCTGGAGAGTTTTTAAGGACTTACTAGAGCTACCTGATAATAGAGAGTTACAGTAATCCAGCCTAGAGGTAACAAAAGCGTGGACCAATTTTTCTGCATCTTTTCTTTTACTATGCAAACATTATTTCTAGTATACAGGGTTGAAAGGGTTTATGCTGCAGACTCAGATATGCAGCAAAAAAAAAAACGTATAAATCAATTAGATACAATAACTGCACTTTATAAATGGACAGTTTGTATTCATACACAGCTGTTAAACAGTCACACAGGACCACTGCTTGTGTGACCGTTAGTCTGGTTGTCATGTCAACATAAAATCCCTACAGTCCTACAGTGTCATCTGAGGCTCCCAGTTGTCACATGAACTGACAGATTTGCTCGTCACTCAGAGACAAGAGGACGAGTCCGAGGAGAGGAAGAGAGGCGATCGGAAATGATGAATAAAAGAGAAGTAATCAGAGAGTTGGTTAAAATATGTGTTTGTAAAATAGAATAATGTGTAATAAGTGAACAGATGAGTGGACAAGACTGTGAGCTCGTTTTTTACCTATATACATATTGTTTACAGCGAGTGTGTGTGTGTGTGTGTGTCCTTGTCTCACATCCCCACAGACCACAGTAATAAACAGGGTCTATCTGTGCGACCTCTGTGGTACAGAGTGGCAGGAGGGTCAAACCTGATCGATAGCTCAATGACTCTTCTCCTGGTTGTGTTTTGAGATGTAAGGAAACACGATCCCAGCCATTAAATATCATTATGCAGACAATAAGACACGAAGATACCGTGCAGGATGGTTATTTTTATTTAGTTTTTAATTCACAGTTGGCACTTTATTGTGCAAATATTTGGTGTTTTTTTTTTTTACTTTATATTATCCCATAGTGACCTTGGCACCTGTTTAATCTGTTTTTGGATCTGGATCTGCTTTTGGAAACGTAGAAAATCCAGGTGACAATACATTTAAAAGATTTATTTTTTTTAGATGAATCTGCAAAAATACAAAAAATATACTATAAATATACTGCAAACTACAATTCTGTGAGTCTGGGCTCCATGTTCTGAAGTATAAACAAATGAAAGTCTCATAGTCTGTCAAGCTTAGTACAGTTCTCACTTGTGAGATGTGATTGACGAATATAAATGATTTAGAGACAGTCTCAGTAATCTTGTATGTTTCGATTAGCCAGCTGATATCTAAACGTTTGTATCTGCACACTCACCTAGAGACACAGACAGACTGATTTCCGACCTGCCCACATTAGCTGCACAGCAGGCAGATCTCCACAGGCTGCCAGTCAGCCTGCTTCCCCCAACTGGGAGCTTTGATCATTGGGGAGGCGGCAGCAGGGATCTATAGAGTGAGCATGAGCTCTGGGTGTGTGCTACATCCGTCAGATATACCGGCTAGCTGCTCTGTTAGCTTGAGAGGAGCACCCTCCTCTACATACTGATGCTGGTGGTGTAAACATCAGGTCTTTCTGTTGTCCATAATCTGGCATTAAATGTCTCGTTTTCCACTTTATGGTGTTTGAGTCATACTACTTTATACCTTTGCATTTATCTGTCTCGTGTGTGTACTAGTTTCTTAACACCTTTGTGTGTGTTTTGTGTGTGTTTGCAGGCAGTGCCGAAGCCCATAGCCATGGAGCCATGTTGGGGGAGCCGAGCAGGTGTTCTGACGGTGCTGATGTATCTGCCCAGAGTCCCGTCTGGAATCCCTCCACCAGGACAGTCTGGTATGATTCACACACACACACACAGACAAGCAGACATTATAGCATGTGTTGTTTCATCTCTTCTTGTGGTTTGATATTTGTTTGTGTCTCTAATACACTTTAAACTTGTTCTGTGCCATTTCATGGACGGCTGTGGCTCAGGAGGTAGATGAGGTCATCCAGTAATCGATATTGATATTTCTAGCACTGTCTGTCGAAACCGTCAAACATCAAACGCAGGTGTCGTACCCCACAGCTCCCACAGGGTCAAAGAGCATGTCCCAGCCTTCTGTGAATCGTCTTGGGTCAATTAACCATATTTTCTCTGATCAACCTTTGCAGTGTTGTGTCGGTGTTTGTGCTTTCTAATCTGATGCTGGCCTCTTAAATGTGTCTTTGTTTGTTCGGCATGTGTTGCCCAGTAAGGTGGTGCACAATACTGTGGTTTTTATTGTGCAAAAAGTGCTGCCTCAATCACACTTTGCGCTGATAATTTCACAAAGGCAGGTGCATAATGACCAGCTGTATTAGCTGCCGCTCTCAGCAGACCATATTTATGTCCAACTGTCAGACACTTACCAGACACAGCTAATGCTCCTTTTTACGATTAAGTGTAACAGACATCAACCGTCCTACTGGTGTTTTCTTCATTTTTATTTGATTGTCGCCGTTGTTGTAAACTGTCAGCTGTCTACAATCCATGAAATTCCACAGCCTCGTCATTGTAGGCTCACAAAAAACGCAGTCCACACCATGTGTGATCCTTTTACAAGTTGAGGCGTTTTTAGCAGCTCAACGATGTCTCAGAAGGCTCCAGATGCAACGAGCGGTGCTTCTCGTGTGCCTCGCGGCGGCTTCCCATCAGCTCACATGTAAAACAGGCTCTGGCAGTTTAAACAAAAGCAGAGTAAACACACTAAAATGTCAAGGCATCTGAGGCATCTTTAGAAATGTGTTCTGCTGCTGTGTCTGCATCCACATAGCAGATAGCTTAGTGTCGAAGGCAGCCCACAGGTTACATGTTCAAGCCCTGTGAGTCATATCTGTAGTCAGGCTGGACCAAAGACCAAGTTCTCTCAACCCGTGAGCACCAGTTTAATGCCTCGGATGTGAACACACATCTCTGGTCCATGGTATCTGTGGGTGTTATCCTCTCTCTAATGTTCTGTAGGTGCTGTTCTTCTGCAAATCAGACTGCAGCAACATGTTTTTCACTCTACAATCACATAATGCTCAGTCATCAAGTTCACTGAGTCATACGGTTGACAAGTTCACATTTGATGTGTGGATTTATCCACAGTCTATATATCTGTTCTGGAACAGTGTGTTGCTATCCAGATACACTGAGGACACATCGGCGTGGTAACCAGGTGGTCTGCAGGTCAGAGGACCTCTTCTGTGAGTTCAAGCCTGGTTGATTTCTTTTGAAGATCAAGACTTTTTAATGTGAGGCAGATCGTAAGTAAGAAAGAAGTAAGTAAGAAAGTAAAAAGTAAGATATAGTCACTGAATTGGCAGCGGCAGTAGTTCAGTCCATATAAACCAGGCTTGGGTACCAGAGGTTCGACAGCTTAAGTCCCGGTACAGACCAAGTATGGAGCATGGACTGGTAGTTGGAGAGGTGCCAGTTTGCCTCCTGAACCCACTGAACCCCCAACTGCCTGGGGCACCTGTCCAAGGCAGCTCCCTCACTCTGACATCTCTCCATATAATGCATGTATAGGTCCTGTTTGTGCATGTGTGTGTGTGTGTGTGTGTGTCAGGCCTGTGTGTGTATGAGAACAGATTGAAAAAAATGAATTTCCCCTCAGGGATTAATAAAGTATATCGTCTTCTTTGAAAAGTTGCTAAAATGACAGATATTCTGTAAACAGCCTAAAGTAGACTTTCAAACTGTTATCTTTTTCATTCCTTCTTTTTAACCTATAAATCACCAAGTCATACCCCTTTTCCACCAAAGCAGTTCCAGTGCTGGTGCTGGTTCTCAGTTGGTTCAACTTGCGAACCAGCTGAGAACCAATTTGCTTTTTCATGGCTCGAAGTGGTTAGGGTGCCAAGTCATTGCATCAATGTATACGTCAATTAAGTTGTGCTTTCCCACTGGCGCCAAGCTCCAAGGAACAACAACAACGATGGTGGACCACGTATTTGGCTTCACTCATCGCTGTTTTTAAAAAAATGGTGCTTCGCACAGTCTCGTTTATTGTTGTTGGTGTCAATAACCCTGCCTTCCCCGTGACATATCTGGTTTTTTCTTCTAGTCCTGGTGCCACTCTGGAACCGTTTTTTCTGGCCCAGAGCCAGTTCTTTTGTCTGTCGAAACAGGAAAACCAGTTCCAAATTAAGTGCTGGCCCCGAACCAGCAGTAGAACTGCTTTGGTAGAAAAGGGGTAACAGTGCATATTTAGGGTCCAAATGCGAAAACCACATTCAGAGGCCAAGAAATAAAAGTGTGGTGCAGCATAGACAAAAGTCTTTGGCCACAGTTGCACCACAGACTTTCAGTATGGTACCTTTGGATCCAAAAGTAACCCTTCAGACATGGTACCTAGACCCTAGGTCCGTTTTTGTGTTGAATGACGGACTTGAGTTTCAGACTCAGTGTGCAAACGTGATTGACACAATGTGGGTCGTATTTATTTTTATATGTGCGACAATTTCAGACTCAGAATGCAAAGGCCTGTACAATCTGACGGGAGGCGAACACCAGCCTCCTGGGTGAAAGTCGGTGGTTGTTAGTTGTTGGACTCATTCACCGCCCCTCCTGCCCACCCTACTCAGACTTCCTCTACCTTAACTTTTGTTGGCGCTGCTGAGCCAGACACGTATCATACCGATGTGAAAGAATGGCTTTTTTCGTTGGTGTCTGACGCCAGAAGTCACTGACCAAACATCGTTTTTTTGACGACTTAGGAGTGAGACCTGGTTGTGAAGATCAATTAATTGCTGACAAAATTAATACACTCGCTCTATCTTCGGATTTTCTGCTGTGCTCTGGTTTATATGTTGTTACTGGAACATGTTTAGGTTTTAAACTTTTTTTCTGGATTTAACAATCAGTGAATGAGAAATAGTGTGTGCGTCTTTATTTAAGGACGATGTCAGCTGCTTTGTGTTTTTATTGTTTCACTGCTGGAAGGAGGTTTTGTAGTAAAATACAGCTGCAGTCTTTAACAACACTAAATAAATGACAGGAAAGGAGCAACATGACGGATATTTTGCAGATCAGGAATCTCTCGCATACAGTTAAAACCAAGCTGTTTTCATATTGTGATAGCAGTATGTTCTTTCTTTCAGCATCAGCATGTCTTTCACAGTGATATGATGAATTATTCAGAGAAACTCTTGACATATGGCACCTTTTAAAGAAGGTCTGATGTGGTTGGACCTGCTTGGTTTCCATCCAACACTTACTGTTGGATCAATTGTTCCCCTAAATGAGACATCCTGACTTTCCACAGTCTGAGCTCATGTTGCTGCTATAGACGGACGACACGCGATATTCCCCAGTCGCTCCAGCCGACCACCACGCGGCTGTAGAAATCACTGAAAAGCCAGCAGCACTTCCTCACAGACCTGACCGAGGCCTGCGGCATTATGCTCCGTCAGCATGAGGCCAATCTTCTCTCCCCCCAGCTCATCTTCCACCTCAGTCCACCTCTCATGCAGTTAGTCTCCCAGACCTTTCTCTCTTTATATTTTCCTTCTCCCCTGCAGCTTTTGTGGGAGACTGCTGTCAGTTTGTCTGTTGGTAGTTTTGGTCTTTAGAAAGTGGACTGTATGTAACTGGAGCAGGTGCGAGAAGCCTCTGTTCCTCCAGGCAGGAAGCAAAGCCTTCAACGCGGCGGGTACCTGACAGAGGAAACGAGCAGAGCAGACGGAAAATGAAGCACTTTGCAACAAAGCATTTTTTCCTCAAGATAGACGGAGCTTTATGTTGAAGCCTTTAAATGTGGCGACTGTAGTCTCGTACAGAGGAGGGAGAAGTGTCAGTGTGTGTGAGAATGAGCGCGTAGGAGACAGGAAGTAAAAGCTTTAGGGTAATTAGGATGATTTGAAAAAAAAAAACCTGGATAGGTTAGCAGTAACAAGTGCATTAGGAGCAACTGCAAGACAGTAAATGTTACAGGTACAGCAAATATCTACTTTGTATAAATGTTATGAGTCTGATCTGAAGTTTGTTTGCTGATTACGTTGTTCGTTGTTGCTTTGCAGATGTTGACTCTCAGTCTGCACTTGTTAAAAGGTCACTGTCACCCTTTTTAAACAGGAAGTGTGCAAATTTGCAGGAAAGCCCAATCAGTCTTTTTTCAGCATTTGCAGTATAAAAACAAAATCCCTCTTGTTACTAGCTGCTCGCTAATTCCTGCTATCAGCTGTTTCCTGTTTATCCACCGCCAGTGAATAGCATATGCGGTGTCATCCAACAGCGCCTCCCGTGGCGGAAGGGCACCTCGTTCTTTTAAAACCAAAAAGGTTCAGCCAATATGACTGCCCTACGAGGCGGAAAATTGGGAACCTTGGATCGACTCGGCCCAACATTCACTGAAAATCTGGCAGTGTAAAAGGGGCTAAAAGGTCAATGGTGCTAAGAACTTGGAGATTACCTCAAGTGTTGTAAGAGGCCTACTGTGATCTTTTAGGGCTGTACCCGACTCAGAATCATGTTAGTTAAATTAGATTTGGCTGTTTAATACAAATATTCAACCAATCAAGGTTTTATTTTTACTATATAAAGTTTATTAGTTTGAACGGGGGTCCAGCACTGCGTTCAGTGTGACAACGGCATTCATGTAATATAATAAACAAGGAATAATTTTTGCCAACACTAGATATTAGGGATGAGTACACCATTATCTGTATCTGTATCTGTTCAACCAAGTAAATTATCTGTATCCGTATCCATACTTGGAGGGGATGGAGTTTGATCCGAAAGTTTGTGTTTTAAGCCTGAAATTGATCTGGTTTCATCAGAAATTGCTCTATTTATTGTTAATTGGAAAGGTATTTACATAACAGTC